CTCCGCGCCCTCTTCAGAACTTGAGGACATCCCGCCAAAAATGTCGGGCATAGGATTCACGGTGCTGGCCTCCGGCTGTTCGACGCCACTCGTGACACCGTGCAAGGATCGCGCCGGACCAGCGCTGGCCTCTGGCCGCCCCGCTCTGCTCACAGCGCCGCGCAAAGGGCGCATCGAAGCACCAGGAGAGCCGCTATCTCCGCCGCCCATGACCCGCACGTCCCTTGACGGGACGGAAGAGCTCTGGCCGTCTTCACTGCCGACGGAGGCAACGCCCGCACTACCAGACGAAGACGCGGCCGGCGCAATCACCAGAGTGCCGACCTTCTTCTTCTTTTTTGGAGGCGCCCGTGCAACAGCGGCACCCTTCCTCTTCTTGGACTCAGCCTCTGCCGTAACATTCTTCACGGAGGTCTTCTTCTTCTTCTTGTCAAGCGAAGCCAGGACCTCTGTAGGAACCTCGCACTCCTGGTAGATGATCCCGAGCTCCTCAAAAACTCAATTGAGCCGTGGCATGGTGCCTGCCACGGCTCTCCGAGACGTGTACTCACGCTCGAAAATTTTGCCGACCAACCCAATGGTGGCTTCTTCAACCTCGGAGACAAAGCCAACCTCCGTCACCCCCTCCCCCAAAGACTGGCCAAAGCGGGGGAACGGAATCCCGGCCTCCGACCCAAAAACGGGAACCGGCACTGTTTCCAGCTGAAAGGGTGGATTGTCTTTGCTCAGGGGCCAATAGTTGGAGGCCATTATCTCCTCCACTAGATCGCGGCCCTCGGAGTAATAGCACGCCAACGCAAAGGCCTATTCACAGGCTTCCCTCAATGGAGACACCGCCTCCGGCGGATCCACGTGCATATGCGGTGCCATCACCTCCATCCTTGAGGTCAGTGGATATTCCCGGACCTCCGCACCATCCTCGGTGGTGCCACAGACCCCGTAGGTCTTCACGTAGAACCACTGCTCAAGCCAGCCGCGGTCCCATTTGCCTTTCTGGCAGAATGAAATCTCCAGACGATCTACGCCTTGGTTCCTCTTCGACATGAAGGTGCAGCTACCATACTGGTAGATCACCTCCACCTCTTTGCCTTCCCGCATCTCCTTCTTCTTCTTTGGCTACTTCTGCAGCTCATAGTAAGCGCAGAAGGTGTCCACGTCCGGCTTGGCGCCATAAGAGACACAAGCCCAGTAGAATTTGCTGAGTGTGAGGAAGGCCGTAGGAGTCAGATGATGGAGCTAGACGTTGAAAGTCTCCAACACCTGGCGAAGGAAGGGGACGTAAGGAAGGCGGAGGCCGTAGGTGAAGAAGTCCCGGAACACCACCGCATATCCCTCCTCCGGCTCTGGAACAATCTGGCCGAGCAGAGGGATTTTTACCCTCGTAGAAGGAAAATACGATTCCTTCAACATCTCCGCGACCGCCTCCTCAGTAATGGAGGAGGGGCCGAAATCCCATGACTTTATCGCCATGACTCTGGAATCCATGGCGATCAGGTCTCCGACAGACGCAGAGACACTACCCAAATCCTCCTCCACCAGCTTTTCAAACTCCAACGCGGAGGCAGAGGCAAGCATGCACTCCTCAAAGCGCGCACCCCAGCCGATGGCCCTAATGCCAAGGAGGTGGTGGTAGGGTCTGAAAAGGCGGGCCGGCGAGTTTGGGTGGAGGCGGAGAGGAAAGCCACCGTGACAGCAGCCTAATCGCGAGACGCAAGCAGAAAGACGGAACGCGCATGGGCAGCGAAAGGCGAAAGCGAAGAGAGCAGAGAGCGATGTCTCAAATGCAATGAAAGCGAATGAGCAATGTGGGGGGGGGACCCCGCCACCAACAACACCCTTATATAGGCAGCGGGCAGGCAGACCGGCTCCCGCCATACAACGGTCACCTCCGGAAAATTCGGCTGCCGCACAACGATCATCTCCGGAAAAGTCACAAGGTATGCAATGGAAACTGACACGGCATAAATGGCCACACCATAGAACAACAGCTAGATTTGCTGCCCAACAGCTACTTTGACAAGACCAATGGCCTCGCCAGAGCGGGCCAGGGGGGAACCGGCGGGGATCGGTCGAAGATGTGACTATGCGTAGTCTCTGCCCCCGCGGATGTCCTTGCTTGGGGTGTTTTGAGCTCACGGCACGCTCAGGAGGACCGTGGTCTCAAAAGGGGGGAACTGTTGTAACATGGCCACCGCGAGTGGCAGAGACCTACGCAGTCAGCAGGTTATGAGGGCATCTCCGATCTGTTACCAAAACGGAGGTTGTGCTCCCACGCCCCCAAACCCGGGAAAGAGAACGGTTTGTTAGATTGAGCTTGCAGGTTGTAGACGATGGTCCGAGCGCGGTCTCCGCTCGGTCGGCTCGCAGGCGTCTCCAGCGGTGGGGCGGAGGCCGCTCCACCAGGAGACTAATTAAATGCCAACATTGTTTGGGTATGTGCAGGTAACTAGATGAAGGCGTTCGTGGACTGCGCGGGTGCTCCAGCATGGTCTCCGCCCGTCGGGGCGAAGACCCAAGCAGGAGATCGGCGATCCTAGGATGCTAGAGGCCTACGGCCTCGGCACTCCCAGAGGCGGAGGCCCGAAGGCTCGTCGTCGGATCCTGAGGCCGGAAAGAGCGGAGACCTACGACGGAGGCCCTAAAGCCCATCGCCGAGTCCTGAGGCCTGATGGGCTGGTTGATCATGCAGGCCCAGTACCAGATGGCGGCTTGGCAAGATTACCCCCGAGACGAAAGGCGAGTAGAGGAATATCCCAAGAATGTGCTGTAGCAGTTGAGGGGCATTGTAATAAATTCTGTCAGGAAGTAGTTGAGCCCTATAAATAGGGAACACTTGTAACCGTGCGGGTGGTTGGTGCAAGAATTAATGAAACCCTAGTTTTGCGTGTCATTTCCTTACTCGCCCATTTATCGTGCCTGTTTCCCGTGCCTCCACCGGGAGGAGCGGCGTAGCAGGCGGAGACCTCTACCTCCTCCACACCGTCTGAAAGGCGGAGGCCTCTACCTCCTCCACACTGTCTGAGACCGCCCGTTTCAACATGTTTTAATCATGCAATTTTTTGTGTGTGCTTTACATGCTTAGGTCTGCCTCCACAAAAATTATGGTACTATTTTGATAATTTAATTATCCACTTAATTATATGCCTTAATTAATTAATGTTTAATTGACTAAATTTAATCATAACATGACTTGAGTGTACTTTTGGATTGAATGAAGGCCTTGGGACACTAAACCTTGCTGTTCCTTGGCAACTTCACTTCATGGTTGTTTTGCTCATAATTAAACTTGTTAATAATAAATTAATATTGCTTTGTGAGTAATTAACCAAACTTAAACGTGAAGAAAAGTTGTACACAAGTTAGTTAATCTTGATTACTCATCATAACCCATGTTAAGTATCGCATAATTTTAAAGCATGCATATTTATTTACGTTTAGTGATCGAGAGTGGCAGCCCGTTGTTGAGCAAGTCCCGGGAGTGGATTCTATTCAGTCAGAGTTGGTTATCTTTTCTACGATTTTCTAAAGTGCTTTACAACCACGTCACCACAGGCAAGCCCCGAAGCATAACCCCTTTCCTTATGTTTTATAAACGTTAATCACTTCAGTCTTATAATTGATGCATTTAAGTAAATAGGAGTTGTTTGTATACCAACTGCTGCATGCCTGCCTTGATATTTCAATACCTATCCTTGTCACCCTGATAGTAGTAGTAGTTAATAAATGCTTAGTTATGCTTAGTAGTTAAGAGTTGAGCAACAAGGTTATTTCACATGTTCTTACCAGGGAATGCCCTGTGGTTGATAATAATTGATGAATTTAATTTTAGACCAGGCGAACCCTTTGCTTGCATCAGGAATTGAGTCTTCACGTAGTGCCTCGCCTGTGTCGATGGAGGACAGTTCGTTGTAGGCTTGCTTGTATTTGAGACTTTGTAGTACTGGCCACATACTCCGGTAATCCTAACACCTCGGCTATTCCATCACGAGAAAGGACAACCACGCACTGGGAGTGGAGAGATGACGAGAGTAGCGTGTACCCACCCTATGGAAACATCTGGGACACCGTACGATGGTGGAGTACTATATTCTTGGGTGGCGCAAACCCATTCTCGTTTTGGAGGATTCGAGTGAGGGTTGATATATGTAGGTCTAGGACCTGCATATGTCGTGTGGTAAGGAAACCCCAGCTAAGCCTAATCGATTCAAATCATCGTGCTCCTCAGTTCTGGAGACTCGATCCTCTGCCCTGCATCGTAGTTAATAAATAAAACAATGTTACCAATGATCATGAGATATGATGATTCATGAAGTGGTTGCTTTAGATTAGGTGCCAACTAGAGACTGATAATGACTTAACTTGAGCTAAAACAATGAAAGTAAGGATCAATCCTTAGTAAGCTTTTCTGCAAAAGTTAATTTTGATTCTTGCTAAAACTTACCTTGATTCCCATAACCCCGCATATCCTTGGAGTCTTTTCTTTTCATTGGTAAAGTCTTGTTGAGTACCTTTGTACTTAGGGTTGTTAACCCTTGTTGCAGGAGGAGAGCCAACAATAGAGAAATTTGTTGTGCACCCTTAGGCAGGGTGAAACTTTCTTGTGTGTTATTATAGTGGTACCTGTCCTGCTACCCTACTGCCTAGTTGGTTAAAGCTTATAGTTTGTAATAACTTAATGAATGATTTGTAAACTTATGGTTGTAAGTCTTCTGTTGTTTACTCCGATGTAATCTATTTGTTTAAAACTGTTGTAATACTGCAATGTCTTCTGTGATGTATCCTGCTGGAAATGAAAAAGTGGATGATTTGGGTTTCCCGAGGACATTTGACAGATTACCAGGATTGTGTGGCTTATATGTGCTACAATCAGAAGTCTGTGAGACAATGACGGGCACATATGAGCCATATAATTCGGGTGGTTCTGCCATAATCAATCATTCGGATCATCCACAAGGTGCTCAGGTGTGCATAAGTGATTCCAGATTGTTTTATATCTTCAGTTATGCCACCTGGAAATTAGTAAGGATGGAGACCTTTTGAAAACTTTCTATGTTCGAGTTACATCATGCAAGACCACAAGTAGCATGTTAAAGGATGAAGAGGACATGGTGATGATCAACAAGGTTCAGATGGCACCAGCAGCTTACGCTGATATAAGCCGTCTGTATCTCACAGATAGAGTCTCTATGGTGTCAATGGGTGACGTACCTCCCTGTCGGGTGACCAAGCGTCATGTGGAGATCGCAGCTGCTGATCGGTATCCCCATGGTCTGGAGTATCTTCTGGAAGTCACCAAATTAATTAGCATGTCGGATGATACTCATGTCTCGTGTCTCAGTGATCTGGGTGATTATCGGGTGACCAATCAGTGTCTCCTTGAGCTAGAGGAGTGCATGCTCCGACGGTGCCATCGGATGGAGCAGGTCTTTGAAAAGCTGTATGCAGGATACCTAGGGATGTCTCTCAAGAATGCATGTCTCCCATCTCAAAAGTTTAACCCATTTCTACAGACCATTGGGTCGTGCAGGAAATTTCAATGCACTGAAGCATCTAGTCTTAGAGCACTGCCCGAGGTTGGAGGGCGTCGTGCCACATGATTCTAAGCTACCAGGACTTGAGACGCTCGACATCATTTTCTGCTACAACCTCAAGGCAATTTTCTATGACAATGGTCGTCGATCTTCTTCTGCTGGTTACAAGCTCCCGTGTCTCCAAAGGATACGGCTCCAAGAGCTGCCACTGCTGCAGCATCTCCACGTCGACAACCCCATGCTGACGGCGCCTGCATGGGAGGAGCTCCATGTCCGCTGCTGCTCCATGTTACAGCGAAAGTGTACAACCTCTTCAGAGTGTAAAACTGGTATATCAGCCGTGCTCACGGATACGAGCGTCCTTGAAACATTTATGAAATAGATGATCACTATTGACTACTTGTTTATGCTATTTAATATTCATGTATACCTGATCATGTGTTTTCATAGGCTTACCATAAACTTGATGCTACTCAATTGCTAAAAGATGACTCACTAAAAGCTAATGTAGTTAAACCAGTATCTACCTTTGAGCCTCATGATCGAACCCCATGTTATTCTTGTTGAGTATGACATGTACTTACGCTTGTCTTTATATTTTACTTGGATAAAAATCTTGGATGGGTACCAGATTGCTAGAGTATTGAGGAGTTTAGGATTGTGATCGACCAGTCAACTGTGTCCTTGTGGATTTGGAGTTTTCGCTTAAAGATCGGAGTTGTCATTTCGCTTTCTACTATCTAAGGTTGTATTCTTTTGTACTAAGTACGTTATATAATAAGCATTGTCTTTTGATATTACCTCTATTTGTAGCCATATGTGTGATTTGACTTCATAGGCTCACATATGATGTGTCTGGTTTTGTCCTTAAAACCTGGTGCTACATTCTACATGCGGTCCACAAGCCTATGGGATTTCATTCTATGGGTCTAGATGGAGGCCCAACCTATCATTAAATGCTTGTCCTTTTTAGGTCGTGTTTTATGAACATGATATCCTTGATTGGAGATGCCTGAAAGCATCTAGACCCCTAGTTGGGTTTTGATGATTAATGACAATACAAGATTACTATGACTAACGTATGTTTTACAGAAGTAATTAAGTTAGGTCATGGTAATAGAGATCGATTGGGCAATCATGAATGTCATGCCCCTACGATGGAAATCATTTTGGTTTTCAAAGGATGGACGACAAGGTTAAGGATGACTAGTTCTAAGTGTCGTTTGATGTTGAAGAGACACTTAGAGTAGTTTAGGACTTTGTTTTTTCTTTGGCCGTACTATTATGGGGGTATGGACGGGTAGCTTGACCTAGGTGAGTCTAGTGAGTTAGGTGTGGTGCACACTTGCTAAATCTAGCACTAGGTAGCTCCAAAATAGCCCTTACATTCATTGGAGCAAACTTCATTCATGTATGATCGAGAGTTAGAAGTGAATGGAGGGTCAAATACTGACCGGGCGCTGGCTCTGGTGTGACCAGACGCTAGCTCAGAGTCCGGTCAGTTCATTTGACCAAGGTGTTTGCATTTGGCGCGACCGGATGCTGAGAGTGAGTGACCAGACGCTGTGTCCCAGCATCCGGTCGACTCCAGTAAGGTTCCAGAGAGACAAAATCCTGATCGGACGTGTCCGGTCAGTGCTGATCGGACGCTGGTTACGTTTCGGCTACTGACCGGACGCTGAGCAGCAACTGACCGGGCACTAGGGGTCCAGCGTCCGGTCGACATTAGTAAGGTTCCAGTGAGGGTAAATTGCGACCGGACGCTGTCCAGCGTCCGGTCATCACTTAAACACTAGAGTTCAGGGTGAACTGACCGGAGCGTCCGGTCAACATGATCGGAGCATCCGGTCACCCGAAGAGGCACATAATGGTTTGTTTTTCAACCTATGTTATAAATACCACCTCCATTCGTGTGTGGGGGTACTTTTGCTCATTTCAACAGCTGAGAAACACCTTAGAGAGTGCCAAGAAGAGCAAGGTCCTAGTGAGGTGATTGAGATTTGAAAATCCAAGAGAGAAGCCTTATTAGTGAAAGCAAGAGTAGCAAAGTGTGCATCCATCCTTCTCATTAGGCTTGTTGTGGTCAAGTGAGAGTTTGTGCTTGTTACTCTTGGTGATCGCCATCACCTAGATGGCTTGATGGTGATTGGGAGTTTGGTGATCATCCGGCGAAGCTTGTGGATGACCCAACTCAAGTTGTGAGCGGTTGTGGGTGATTCACCAAGACGGAGTGTCAAAGAATCAACCCGTAGAGAGCACTTGATCCTTGCGCGGATCAAGGGGGAGCTACGCCCTTGCGCGGGTGCTCCAACGAGGACTAGTGGAGAGTGGCGACTCTCTGATACCTCGGCAAAACATCGTCGTGTTTCCTCTCCTCTCTTTACTTTGAGCATTTACTTTGAGCAATTCAATTCTTGTCATTTACATTCATAAAATTGCCATGCTAGAGTAGGATTGGAACTTAGGTTGCTAAACTTTTGTGCGTTAGATCAATAGAAACACTTTTCTAGGCACAAATGGTTAATTGGGCTAACCGTAGGATTTAATTATTGTATAGAAATTTAGAATTAGCCCAATTCACCCCCTCTTGGGCATCTTGATCCTTTCAATTGGTATCAGAGCCTTGTGCTCACAAATTTAGGCTTAACCACCTAGGGAAAGATGTCTCACGGGGATGTACCTCCTCCTATCTTTGAGGGGGATGATTTTCCATATTGGAAAATTCGCATGGAGGCGTATCTAGAAGCTCTAGACGTTGGGATACTTAGAGCCGCCTCACAAGGCTTCCCAAAACCTCGGGATGCTACATACCTACAAGGCGATGAGGTGAACTATGAAAAATAGAATGCAAAGGCTCGAAACACCAAATTTAGAGGTCTTTGCAAAGATGTGTTCAACCGCGTAAGGAACCACAAAGATGTCCATGCACTATGGTCGAACGTTTATGCGCTCCATGAGGGAACCAAGAGCGAGCGTGAGGAACGCTATCATCTTGTCATGAAAAAGCTAAATTCATTTGAGATGCTTCCTAAGGAGAGTGCTAATGAAATGTACTCATGCTTGAATGTTCTTGTAGAGGAAGTTAATGGGTTTGGACTCACTCAAATGCAACCATCCGATGTTGTAAGGAAAATCTTAAGTGTCCTCCCCATTGACAAATATGGGCATATCGTGACCGTGCTTCGTCAAGGTGATCTTTCCACCGCTACACCGATACAAATCTTGGGAAAGATCAATGCTCATGATATGTATATGCACATCACACCTCAAGATGGCTCATCCTCTAACAAGAAGAAAGACAAGGACTTAGCATTAAAACTAGTCAAGAGAAAGGCAAAGCAAGGCTTGAGTATGAGAGCTCAAGTGATGATGAATTTGATGATGAAAGTCTTGCTCTCATGGTGAAGAAGGCCGCCAAGATGCTAAAGAAGCTCAACAAGAGTGGCATCAAGTTCGATGGCAAGAAGAAGAAGTTCTTCACTAGCTCTAGAAGAAAGCCAATCTCCAAGATGGATTGCTTCAATTGTGGAGAACTTGGTCATCTAGCACACCAATGCACCAAGCCTAAGAAAGACAAGTTCAAGAACAAATACAAGGGCAAGAAAGATGACTCAAGTAATGAAGAATAAGAAGAAAAGAAGAAAAACAAGCCATACAAGAAGAGAGATGGCAAGAAGGACTTCCACAAGAAGAAGAAGAGTGGAAAGGCATACATTGTCGGTGATTGGCTCACAGACATTGATTCATCTAGTGAATCATCCAATGATGATAGCGACAATGAGAAGGTGGCCGCCATTGCTATTGATTCTTCATCATCTTCACCGCCACCACCGCCATCATCCTCTACACACCTATGCCTTATGGCCAAGGGTGAATGCAAGGTATCAAATAATGATGATAGTAGTGATGATGAGCATGCTAGTGATAATGATAGTGATAGTGATGATGATGAATATGAATCACCTTCTTATGATGATCTTGCTAGATTGCTTAAACAATACACTAAGATCATTATAAAGACTAGAGCTAAGAATGAAAAGCTAGAAGTTAAAAATGATTCTCTCTTAGCTAAATGTGATATAGTGGAAAAGGCTAATGTTGAGCTTAAAGAAGCAAATGATGCTATGTCATCCAAACTTAAGGAGCTCAAATCTTCTAAGAAAGAGCTTAGAGATAAACATGATAAACTTGAGAGAATACATAATGAGCTCATCACTAGCCACAACAAGCTAAAAGATGAATATACTACTCTTAAGATTAATCATGATACTCTTGTCATTGCTCAAGAATTTCTATCCAATGAGCCACATGATGCTACTAACGATGTTGTTAAGATTGAGATAGCTACATCATGTGATGACTTGATCATTGAGAGCATTGAGCAAAGTTCTAGTAGCAAGGGCAAGCAAGTGGTTGAGGCCGATGACTATGATGAGTTTGTCAAGCTCAAGAATGACAATGAAAAGCTCAAGAAGGATCTTGAAGAGATCAAAAGCAACAACACTATAGTGCTACAAACTCTTGATCATGATGATGAGTTGATCCTCGAGAATGAGAAGCTCAAAGAAGAGAACAAGAAGCTCAAGGAAGAGAAGAACAATGATGCTCTCAACGAAGAAAACAAGAAGCTCAAGATGGAGAAAGAGCATATTAAGATTGGATTGGGCAAGTTCACAAGAGGCAAGCACCTTCAAAGTGAGCTACTTATGAACACCGTCATGAAGATGGATAGAAGTGACATTGGGTACTTGGCAAACCAAGAGAAGAAGGCTCAAGCTCAACAACACAACAAGCCAAAGCCAAAGAGATGCTTTGAGTGTGGACAAGAAGGCCATTTTGCTCATGAGTGCCAAACTCCACCACCACAACCCTTGCCCAAGCATGCTAGACCTTTTGCCTTCAATGCTCATTACATGCTTAGAAAGGATTCTAGTGGGAAGATGAAAGTGATGTTCTCAGGACCTCCCAACAAGAATAGGCCTAAGAAAATTTGTGTTGCAAAGTCACTTGTTGAGAAGGTGAAGGGCCCTCAACAAGTTTGGGTTCCTAAAGCTTAATCTCTTGTG